AGAAGGTCAGTGCTGTGAAGGACACCTGGCAGCAGTGGGGGGAAGATTTGTACACTATGCAGCAGCCAACCTGTAGGCAGGTGCAGTTAGCTACTTTACCACTAGATGGCTCTGGACCAGAATAATGTTTGATACAGCAGGTATTGACACAAGGTGCTCAGCCCCCTTTAGCCACTTGCCATCCTGAGGACTTACCCCCCTTAATGACCAGGCCCCTTTTTACTATTCGATGCTGCACTATTTCAACTGATAATTGCGCGGTCATGCAATGCTGTACCCAAACAAATGTTACGTCCTTTTTTTTACACAAATAGAGCTTTCTTTCTGTGGTGTTTGGTCACCTGTGCTCTTTTTATTTTTCATACTATAAACAAAAAAAGACCAAAATTTTTGAAAAAAACACACCCCGATATTTTATTTGTTTCATAAAAAATATCCAAAAAACTAAAATTTTGGCATAAATTTAGGCCAAAATGTATTCTGTTACATGTTTTTGGTCAAAATCCCAATAAGTGTATATTGATAGCTTTGTGTAAAAGTTATAGTATCTACAAACTATGGTATAGATAATGGAATTTACACAGCTTTTACTTTCTGACTGCACATCCTTTCTTGAGGTGCTAAAATACCAGGACAGTACAAACACCCACAAAACGACCCCTTTTTGGAAAGTAGACACCCTAAGCTATCTGCTGAGAGGCATATTGGGGTTTATTTACTAAAGCTGGAGAATCCAAAATCAGACTCCCTTCTGCATAGAAACCAATCAGCTTCCAGGTTTCATTGCCAAAGCTTCATTGAACAAGCTGAGGTTAGAAGCTGATTGGTTTCTATGCAGAAGGGAGTCTGATTTTGGACTCTCCAGCTTTAGTAAATAAACCCCATTGAGTCCATGGAAGATTTATTTTTTTCCACAAGTTTTTAGAAAATGACAAAAACTTTTTTTGTACACAAAGTGGTCATTCAAATTAAATATTGCTCACACAAGCCATGGGTATATGTGGAATTACACCCCAAAATACATTCTGCTACTTCTACCGAGTATGGGGATACCGCATGTGTGAGACATTTTGGGAGCCTAGCCACATACAGGAGCCTGAAATCCAATGACCACTTTGAAAGCCTGAAGGTGCATAACTTCCTCATTTCACTTCCTCACTACCTATCACAGTTTTGGAGGCCCTGAAATGCCAGGATAGCACCCCCCCCTAAAATGACCCCTTTTTGGAAATTAGACACCCCAAGGAAATTAAAAAGAGACACGGTGAGTATTTTGCAGTTCTAATTTTTTCTCACAAGGTTTTGAAATATAAATTCATTTTCCAAAAACTTGTGGCAAAAAACGTGATCTGCAAAATACTCACCATGCTTCTTATCAAATTCTTTGGGGTGTCTACTTTCAAAAAGGGGTAATTTGGGGGGGTTTGGTGCTATCCTGGCATTTCAGGGCCTTCGAAACTGTGATAGGTAGTCAGGAAGTATAATGTGGAAATAAAACCCTTTAAAAGCCTGAAGGTGCTTATTGGATTTTGGGGTTCTGTACCTGGCTAGACTACCAAAAAGTATCTCACATGTGGTACCCCCATACTCAGGAGAAGTAGCAGAATGTATTTTGGGGAGTAATTCCACATATACCCATGGCATGTGTGAGCAATAAATCATTTAAGTGACAATTTTGTGTAAAAAAAACCATAATTGTTTTGTCATTTTCCAAAAACTTGCGGTAAAAAAATAAATTCTTCTATTGACTCAATATGCCTCTCAGAAAATAGTTTGGGGTGTCTACTTTCCAAAAAGGGGATGTTTTGGGGGGTGGGGGCATTTTATGCCCAGCATTAGAAGTGTATGCCACACATCATTCACTCTTCTAACCACCTGAACACCAAACCTTTTCTGACACTTTTTGTTCACATGAAAAAAATCTGTATTTTTTTACTAGCAAATTACTTTGAACCCCCAAACATTATATATTTTTTAAAGCAAAGACCCTAGTGAATAAAATGGTGGGTGCTGCAGTTTTCTATGTCACATAGTACTCACGTATCGATTTTTCAAACGCAAATTTTTGACAAAATACACTTTTTTAACTTTTAATGCACAAAAACACAATATATTGGCCAATTATTTGGTAACATATAAAAGATGATGGTATGCCGAGTAAATAGATACCAAACACGGCATGCATTAAAACTGCACATTCCCCGTGCAATGGCAACAAACTGCATACATTTTTAATATCCATAGGCAACACTTTAAAAGCCTTTACAAGCTACCATTTTATACGTACAGAGGAGGTCTAGTGCTAGAATTACTGCCCTTGATCTGACGTTCGCAGCGATATCTCACATGCATGGTGCAAGCACTGTGTACATATCGGCATTGGGTCAATGCTGCGTGTGCGGGGGGGGGGGGGGGGTGATCGAGGGAGCTTTTTTTTTTTAACTTATTTTGATTTTCTAAATTCATTTTACACTGTCCCTTGCCTTTTTTTATCACTTTCAATGCTATCAGAGGGAATGCAAATATCCCTTATAACTTCAATGGGCATTGTCATATATTCTTTTTTGAGAAATCTGGGGTCTATCAGACTCTAGATATCTCCCCTGCCCTTACATTATCTAATCTCACCAAGATCGGTGTGATCAGATGCTTTCCCAATTTACAAATGGCGCTGTTTACATCCTGCGAAACTAAAGTGATGAAACGCTCGTAGCTTCCCATTTCTTAGACTGTAGAGATGGTGGCACCATTCCATCTCCAATCAGCTCTATGGTCAGCTGGCAGAAACACCGGCTGCATTCTCAGGTTCCCCCGATGGCACAGGACTGCTCAAGAAGGCCATGGAAGGCAGCGGGGGAGGGCATCATCTCCCACTGCTTGTAAAAGACTGAATTTTGTGGAGCCGGTCAAATTCAGGGTCACACCAAAGACAACAGAGTGTGTTCTTGTTGAAATGCATAAAACACATTATACTCTCATATCTATGCCTGCCATGGCAGCAGAGAACATGGGATATGATGAATTGGGTCTGTGGACCAATACAACCACAATTAATTTTTTTAGTAATACCCATGTTAAGGGTTAGGCCCAAAAATTTTTTTAATTCAGAAACCGTAATGGGTTTCCATGTGTATAGTTTGGAAAGGTTTGAATTTGGGTTGGTGATGATAAATTGTTGTGCATATAAATTGCTTTGATCCACAATCAATGCATACCGTGAAAAACAGCTCCAAAAAATCAAGGACAGTAATTAAATTTGCTGTTTCCACCTGAATTCAGGGTTGGGCAGTGAATGGGGGAAGTTCGGGTGCTGCAGAATTTGTGGGCTGCCAATCGGGATTTGCAAGCACATTCGGAAGGACTCTACGGGCCTGTGTGCGAATTCTTGGTGGGTGCGGGACATTACTTGTGCTCGCCACTGCACCAGCTTGTACTGCACTTATGGGACTTGCCACGTCACCAAGGGATACTGCAGTGCTGTTATGTGAAAGGTCAGGATGTACTAGGCCGCTGGTGCTCGCTAGTTCACCAAAAGGTAGACCGGCACTAGTACTGACACTCTGCTGCATATTAGAGTCATCAAAATGTACCAGCAAGCGCTAACAGCAATGGAGGTTTATTATGTATGAGCGTGTTCCTGGCAATCAAGGGGTCAAATGTGATTACTGGTGTACTGACAGGCAATCTGAGGCTATCTGGGAGGGGCATGAAAACCACAGGAGTGCGAATCACGTATATATACATGACCGGTGTTGCCCTGTTGCAGTATTTCTGCTATAGGGCGGTAAGTAAGAGGTTAAAGAAGCAGTTTTTGTTACGGCGCTGCATTACTTTAACTGACAGTTGCACAGTCATGCAACACTGCACCCAAATGAAATGTACATCCTTTTTTTCCCCACAAATTGAGCTTTCTTTTGGTGGTATTTGATCGCCTGTTTTTTTGGGGATTTTTTGCACTATAAAAAAAAAAGACTGACAATTTTGAGAAAAAAACAATATTTTAGACTTTTTGCTTTTAAACATGTCCAGTAAAAAAATTTTAAAAAATCAAATTTCATCCTAAATTTAGGCCAAAATGTATTCTGCTCCATGTCGTTGCTAAAAAAAAATCCCTATATGTGTAAATTAATTGGTTTATGTGAAAATTATATCATTTACAAATGGCGGTATAGACACTTGAATTTTTTTTTTTTTAATACTAATTATGGCGGCGATCAGTGACTTATGGCGACGATCAGTGACACCAATACAGTGATCAGTGCTAAAAAAAGCACTGACACTATACTAATGGCACAGGGCAGGAAGGGGTTAACATGAGGGGCAATCAAAGGGTTAACTGTGCGATGGGAGTGTTTTATTAGTGGGGCGGAGGGGTGTGTTCTTAACTGTAAGCACACTGCTCTGGATGGCTGTGCACAGCCATTCAGAGCAGTGTGCACAAACTGACAGGGAGGAGGACTGTTGGTAAACAATGCAGCCCTCTTCCCTGTCCGTGATCACCGATAATCACCGGCCGGGACCCGGTGATTGACACCCACGGCCGCGAATGGCAGCGCGGGGTAGGGTGTGCGTGTGGCTTGTGTGCGCCCCCTACATGGAGATGCAAAATGACGTGTGTATATATATATATATATATATATATGTGTGTGATTTTGCGCACAGGGGCTTCCCTGTAGCAGTATATCTAATATAGGGTGGTCCTTAAGCATTAAAGCCCTCCCACAGTGATTTCACTCACATATAAGCTAGGTGGGGAGGGGCACACACACACACACACTTGGGGCAAGGGAGGTAAACATCCCACACCTGTGAGGATGTAGACCTATTAATCTTAGAAAGCAGATACTGAGCTGACACTTTAAATGCAGTGTTAAGTTAGGTATTGCTGTCAGGAGAGCCCACTAGAATGGATAAGATAAGAAAAGATGTAATTTTTATTTATGGCATCATAGTGGTATTTACACATGGAATCATTACTCTGTACATGTGTTTTTATACAGGTGCTGGTGACTGTTCCACAGTGTTTGGAAATTCTTGTGTTATCTCCTCATCGACAGGATTGGGTGAAAAAAATCAAATATTTAATATTTGATGAGGTATGCAGTATTATTGATTACATAAATAATGTATGTGGTGAACAAAAACAATATTATGGAGTTTAATGTATCACACAGTGGCAATGCAGAGTCTGCAGGAATGCAACTTAAATGTGACACCAAGGCCAGGCTGTATTTTTGTTTAGGCACCGTAGACCCGTGCCTATAGACAGCCAAGTGAAAGAGAGATATTTTCCTGTATTACCAGCCACACAATTGTTCCCAACATCTGTAGAAATATACAGTATGTTTATATACTCATTGTCACAATATTTAATACTAGGTTAGGAGGAGTAAAACAAGAAAACATTTTTTAGGTAAAAGAGATGGTCCTAGACGAGGTGTGCTGCTCTAGGGACAGCTGTTGTGTGCCTGCAGTGATAGAATCCCAACCTGTATCAGGATCACTACAAGGAGAGCAATGTCTTGTACAAGAAATAATTCAGTCAGTCAATGGTTCACCAGCCTAAAGAACTGTTACTGTTTAGTGAATCTGTCCTTTGATTTTTTATAAGTTTGTGTTTATAAGTGTTGTGATCTAACTTTCTTAAGTCTGGAAATATATTTACAATGCAAGGTACACTGCTTGGGAGGAGAGATTGGAGCTGAAGTCTGGGAGCACCTACTAGTCATGATTCGTTGTCCATTCTTGGCTTTATCTGCCACAATTAGCAACCCAGAGCACCTCACTGAGTAAGTATATACAGTATAAAAATAGTCTATTATAAATACAAACTCTGTGGTCTATGATCTCTGATTGAGGCATGTGATCTCACACATGCCTAAGTAAAGCTTAATTTTATATGAATGACCTTTACAGACATGTCAAAATATATATAACAATATTGACTGTGTTTATGCAATAGTAGACACTGGAACTGTGTTTTCAACATCGCTTATAACAGAGGAGGTATTAAAGTACATGCACATGGCTGGACACGCGATGGATACCTTTAGCTACGGTGTATAGGAGTGTGCCTCTGTCTATCGATTGGCATTCTCTGTTTAGTGTTGTTTAAAATTATGACATAAATGGATTACCGATTATGTACTGTACGGGTTCAAATACTCGAAATGTAGAAATAGCTGGGCTAAGGTACATTTATACGTGACAATACATGTTAACAGCAAAGTTCTGGAATTGAAAATAAGAAAAAAAATCATACTTACCTAGATGGCTGCAGTACTGATTCCAGCTGCAGCTGCTCCGCACCACCTCTACCTCAAGAACTCAGCGATCAAAGAACACCAATCACTCACGTCTCGGTCTTCAGTGAGCAAAGAGCTGGTGACTGTTATTTATCGGCTCTCTGCTCTGCCACTCCAATGCTCACTAGAGTGCCGGGCTGTGGAGCGGGTGGGAGAGTCTCCCAGCAGCTCACTGAGAGGCTGAGCCAGCTGCCGGTCCAGGCATCTGGGTGGATCCCGACAATAGTCAGGATCGATCCAGAGCCTGGACTGGCTTTAGTGACGTCAGCAGACTGTTGGTTAAAAATGGGTCACAGGAGTGCAGAACAAAGCTCCTGTGACCTACAGGAGCTTTGGCCCTCCTTCACCTTTAAGGCTGAACTCCAGGCATATATAAATACACCATGAAATTGTCAGGGCTGAGCTCCTGCTACTTAACGAGCAGCTCTTTTCTTTCAGTGCTCAGAAGCTGCTCAGCTGTCAGTTAATTACCAGCTACTTGTTGTCTCCACAGTGACTCACCTGGATACCAATACCTGCCTCATTAGTCCAGCCTATAGCCAGCCCTTTTTGCAATTTTAGCAGTTTGGCTCATTTACTCCTTGCCCTTGCATGATCTATGGTCTCCAGTGCCTTCTTGCCTGTGTTCCTGTGTACAACTCTGTCTGGCTGACTTCTCTTAGTTACATAGTTAGTTACACAGTTAGTCTGGCTGAAAAAAGACAAAAGTCCATCGAGTTCAAACATTAAAAAAAAAAGTTATAATCCTATACCCACAGTTGATCCAGAGGAAGGCAAAAAAAACCCCAGCAAAGCACGATCCAATTTGCTTCTGCACGGAAAAAAATTCCTTCCTGATCCCCCGAGAGGCAATTGGATATTCCCTGGATCAACTTTACCTATAAATGTTAGTATCCAGTTATATTCTGTGTATCTAAGGAAGAATCCAGGCCTTTTATAAATCAGTCCACTGAGCTGGCCAGAACCAACTCTTGAGGGAGTCTATTCCACATTTTCACAGCTCTCACTGTGAAGAAACCTTTCCATGTTTGGAGATTAAATTTCTTTTCCTCCAGACATAAAGAGTGCCCCATTGTCCTCTGTGATGACCTCAGGGTGAATAGCTCTACCCCAAGTTCACTATATGAACCACTGATGTATTTATACATGTTGATCATATCCCCCCTTATGCATTATACATGTTGATCATATCCCCCCTTAATCTCCTCTTCTCAATAGAGAATAAATTCAGTTCCTCTAATCTCTCCTCATAGCTGAGCTCCTCCATGCTTCTTATCAGTTTGGTTACCCTTCTCTGTATTTTCTCCAGTTCCCCAGTGTTCTTTTTGTGAATTGGGGCACAAAACTGAACTGCATATTCCAGATGAGGTATTACTAATGATTTGTACAGGAGTAATATGATATCTCTCTCTCTCTGGAGTCTACACCTCTGTTAATACAAGAGAGGATTTTGCTTGCTTTAGAAACTGCAGCTTGGCATTGCATGCCATTATTAAGCTTGTGATCTACTAGAACTCCCAGATCCTTCTCCACCATTGATTCCCCCAGTTGTACTCCCCCTAGTATGTATGATGCATGCATATTCTTAGCCCCCAAGTGCATAACCTTACATTTATCAACATTAAACCTCATTTGCCACATAGTTGCCCAATTAAACAGTGCATTAGGGTTGGCTTGGAAATTGAAGACATCCTGTAAGGACGTTATTCCACTGCACAGCTTGGTGTCATCTGCAAAGACTGAAATGTGATTTTTAATCCCAGACCCTATATTGTTAATAAATATATTAAAAAATAAGGATCCCAACACTGAACCTTGGGGTACACCACTTACAACCCTAGACCATGCAGAGTATGAATCATTAACCACTACTCTTTGAATATGATCTTTTAGCCAGTTTTCTATCCATTTACATACGGATTTTCCAAGCCCGTAGACTTCACCTTACACATTAGCTGTGTGTGGGGAACTGTGTTTGATTTTTAGCCTGTTAAACTTGTTGTCCATGGGAATATATTTTGGATTGTGTTCACATACAGTCATTTTGAAGAACTCCCATTTCTGTGTTGTCTTCATCGATGCCGATATTCCCTCCCAGTCTAAGTCATGGAGAGCAGCTCTCAGTGTTGAAAAAATTAGCTCTCTTAAAATTGAGCATTTTTATTTTTCCTGTATGTGCTCGCTGTTTACAGCTAACAATAAATTAAATCATGTTATGGTCGCTGCTACCCAGATGTTCTTTTTATATAGACATTCATAATAAATTCTGCATGGTTTGAGATTACCAGGTCCAGCAGAGCATCATTCCTAGTAGGGAGCTCTGTGAACTGTACCATAGAATGGTCCTGTAGCAGGTTTAAACATTTTTGCCCTTTAATTGTTCCTGCAGTATTATTACTCCAGTCAATTTCCGGATAGTTTAAACTCCCCATTATTATCACTGCCCCAACCCTTGCAGCCCTTTCGATCTGTGCAAGGAGCTGAGTCTCCACCTCCTCATTAACACTGGGAAGCCTATGACAAACTCCAATGATTACCTTTGTAGTACGCACCCCCATGTGCAGTTCCACCCAAAATACATTCAGCTTCATCACACTCTCCATCTACTAGGTTCTCTTTCACACTCGCTCTGAGATCACTTCTCACATAGAGACAGACACCACCACCTTTCCTATTTACCCTGTCTCTCCGAAAGAGAACATAACCATATTAATGGCCCAGTCATGTGAAAAATGAAGTCAAGATTCAGCAATACCAATTAAATCATAGTTCTCTCTTCATGCACCAAAGCTTCTAACTCACCTATTTTGCTTGTCAGACTTCTGGCATTGGTGAACAAATACTTTAATTCATTAATACCTTGTTCACACGTATTTTGCATTGTTTTTATTTTCATACAAATGGTACCAATTCCACTGGTTGCTTGTAACATGGGAACCTTCTTATCTGCCATAGTCTTCCCCCATCTTTCCCCATTCCACCCACCAATAAATACTGACCCCTGTCTGATCTGTCTACCCTGTTATAATCTAATTCTCTCTCCCTCCTCGATCCTAGTTTAAATACTCCTCCAGCCTTCCTATAAACCTCTCCCCTAGCACAGCAGACCCCCCTTCCATTTAGGTACAAATCATCTCTAGCATATAGGTTGCACCCCAATGAAAAGTCAGCCCAGTGCTCTAGAAACCCAAGTCCTTCCCTTTTACAGTACACCAGGTCTTCAGCCATGCATTGAGTTCTCTAATCTCCCCGTCTTTCCTGAGTTGCACATGGCACAGGTTATATTTCAGAGAATATCACCTTGGAGGTCCTTCCCTTCAACTTGCAGCCGAGTTCTTTAAATTTATTCTTAAGGAGCCTCCACCTTCCATGTATTCTGTATTCTCTTCCGATTCCTGTTCCTGATTTTTAGCTGCTGACTATGCTGACTAGAGATGAGCGAATCGAACTTGGCGAAGTGGAATTCGTTTCGAATATTAGGAAAAATTCGATTCGCGCCGAATCCGAAAATTAGCAAACTTCGGATGCACGAATCGAATTTTCCCCGATCGGCCGATTTTCATCCCTTCTACAGCCGGCAAAAAGTGTCCCTGCAGAGAGCTCCGCTATTTCTGACAGTTCTCTGACAGTTCCTTCACATTTACAGCGGTTGAAACATTGTATCTATTTGTTTCCATTTAGGATACAGATGTTTTTATTCGGAAACAAATAGATACAATGTTTCAACCGCTGTAAATGTGAAGGAACTGTCAGAGAACTGTCAGAAATAGCGGAGCTCTCTGCAGATACACTTTTTGCTGTACTGGAATTCTTCTTATTTTCATCCTACTTCTTCTTCTACTTCTTCTTCATCCTCATCTTCTCTTCTTCTTCTTCTTCTTCTTCTTCATCCTTATCCTCTTCTTCTTCTTCATCCTCATCCGCCTCTTCATCCTCATTCTCTTCTTCTTCATCCTCATCCTCTTCTTCTTCATCATCCTCATCCTCTCTTCTTCTTCTTCTTCTTCTTCGTCATCATCATCCTCATCCTCTTCTTCTTCTTCATCCTCATCCTCTTCTTCATCCTCTTCTTCTTCTTCTTCATCCTCATCCTCTTCTTCTTCTTCATCCTCATCCTCTTCTTCTTCTTCTTCTTCTTCTTCATCCTCATCCTCTTCTTCTTATTATTCTTCATCGTCTTCTTCTTCTTCATCCGCATCCTCTTCTTCTTCTTCTTCTTCATCATCCTCATCCTCTTCTTCATCATCATCCTCATCATCCTCTTCTTCATCATCATCCTCATCCTCTTCTTCTTCTTCATCCTCATCCTCTTCTTCTTCTTCTTCATCTCATCCTCTTCTTCTTCTTCTTCATCCTCTTCTTCTTCTTCTTCTTCTTCTTCCTCATCTTCTTCTTCTTCTTCTTCTTCTTCTTCATCCTCATCTTCTTCTTCTTCTTCTTCTTCTTCTTCATCCTCATCTTCTTCTTCATCCTCATCCTCTTCT